CAGCAGTACCAGCCGCAGCAAGTGGTGCAAGTTGGCATGCCATACACTGGAACTTTACACACGGCTTGTGTGTTGTTCAGTTCTCCAAAACACTCCATGTATTACAAACCGCAGAATACATGACCTGGAAAACGCCCACACACGTTTATGAAGCGTGCAACCAACACAATTCGAGCTGCTGCAAAATGGAAACCCCTGGCAGCTTCGCCTTGACCTTGCCGTGGCTGGAAAGCAAGTACCTACGGGACAGAACGGACCAAAATTATGAATCCACGGATGTTTTGTCGCGGACCGGACGCCGCGCGCGCCCTCCGTTAATTTAACGGCAAATAACGGTGAAGAAAAAGTGAGAGCCGGATTCTGCGGACGGCAGTACGGCAAACAGCGGACCGGATGTTACCGGACGAATATCACACTCACTTTTACGAACCGGACGCAACGGAGCGGACGGTACCCGAGTGTGGCCACCTCTAGTATAGACAGGATCTTGCAAGCGGTTAACTCATGTTCCATAGGGCGGAATGGCAAAAAGAACTAAATGACAAAAGTCGTGGCACCCCATTTATGAAGTTGCTTGCATCCCAGCAATGCATGCCTGTCCTCAATGCAATAGAGCCTTTGCAGGCTAAAAGGCAGCACGGATCCCCTGCCGACCTCCTTCGTGGATGTAGTCTTCGGAGAATATTCCACATCCAAGTTTTGGGGTGTGCATATCCTGGTTTGCATATCATCATTGGCCACATTACTTGCCCGCCCAGGAATGGGGCGTTTTCACTGTGGCTGGTATGGCGATTCCAATCAGATATCCTGGATAAGTTATGTATCACAGATCATCGAGGCCAGTGCGGGACCTTGAATCGCATGGGGGCCCGTAGATAATGCCCCAGCATTATAAAACGTGGCCATTGCAATGCTGCCAATCACGGGGGGTATGTTGATAGCGCGGTGAGTGTGCAGCTTCCATGATGGAATATCCTTATCGACTATCAAAATGTGCATCAGAGCAGAACAGTAACTCCAAGAAGCGTTATGTGACGTCCCATTTTAGGATGGTATTAATTGTGTTGAATTGGTTTAGTGGTCATTGTGGCAAAGTGGGGGCGTTTCTGATGCACCGACTTGATGCGGAATGCGGGGGGCACGTAAGACAGCGCAGGGGCACGCAAGATAATGCCACTTGATGCTCAACGCCGAGGGGGGCGCTATCTTCCGTGTGCCCTCACCCAATGCAGTCAAGTCCACTCTAACTAAATAGTGCCATGGCATTCTTCCTTCAATCAAACACCATGTACCCAAGATTCTCAGTGTCCAGCTCCATACTTATAGTTTATGACGCATGTGTAAGCTCCATACATACGCTGCACTATGCATACCATTGACACAGGGGGCGGCACAGCACAGTGCAGTGCGACGCTCCATTAGCTGTTATTCGTTGCTCTTGGTTACCACTGTGATTGGAACCTTATGTAATATTATGTAATGTGCTATATTGGCCAGGCGCCGGTTCGCTTTGCCAGTCAATCTGGGAGCACGGCGGTCCGGCGCAATGCAGCGAGCTGTGGCACCCCGTCACGTTTCTGTCAGTGGTTTTGTTTGCATGATTGGCGCCGATTGTAATGTGCTAAATTGGCCGATCGCCGGTACGATTTGCTGCCGGCACGCTGGCCAGTGTGGCAATGAGGGGGGAGGGGGGCCGCTACTGAATCAGCGACTTGAGGTGGAACGCGGAGGCATGCAAAGATAGCGCCACCCGCATTCCTGTGGGTGGGTGGTTGGGTGGGTTGGGTTGGGTGGGGGGGTGAGGGCTATCCTCCGTGATGTACAGTACAATATTGGAGATGACCTCTCTCCAGATCAGGGGGCTCTTGTTTCAGCCGTTGTGAACTCTCCGATGAAAATTGTGGATAAAATGTTTGCTCAACAACTTCAAGCCCTTCGAAGCTGCCTAGACTCAGTTTCGTCCACAAAACCGCAAGCTTTTCTCAGCAGCTAAATGAGCCAAAATGCTTTCTGTAGGCAAACGAAAGTTCCACAGCAATTGCGCAGCTCTTGAATCGTGTCACAGCAACAGCAAGGGCTTATGAACAAATGGAAGCACAGATGAAAAGCCCTGACTCCGTGCGAGGGGGGACACCTTTGCATGAAAAAGAAACTCCTGCTGCTCTCGATGAAACCCTCAATATGCTCTTCAATACTCTACAACGTGCAGATTCTTCTGAGGGTTCTGTTCTGCTTTCAATCATTCTAGGCAAGAAGAATTCGCCAATAAATATCAGGCCACAAAGACGCGTTCTGGCTACCTTTTCCTCAAGGGCTCAGATATCGGAGCACTGAAGCTCCAAAACATCAAACGGCAGATCGAAACACTGACGGCAGGCGCCTTGCCATGGAAAAAATGCTCCCAGTTCAGTTTCGAGAGGTGGATAGGTTCCATAATATAACAAAAGTCCAAATGGACCGCCAGAATCAGTAATCTCCCTGTCTGCAGTGCAGCGAAATCTGCTGAACTTGACATAGTTCATTGAGACTGGGACACAAGCTTTATTTCCAAAACCGGGGACGGATTTTGGAAGAATCTCGCTCTATTTATAAAGGGCACAAGCAATTATTTATCATGTATGTCTATCTCAACCTTCAAAGCAATAGTGGTATGACCGGCAGCTTCCTTGGGTTTTGGTTTCTGGAATAGCCGCTTCTTCAGTTCAGCGAAAGAGCCTTTTGTCTCGCTTAGCTCTTGTCATGTGTTCGCTCTTCAACACATTGGATCGCAATGTTCTCTTACTTCTCCCAAATTTCTATGCCTTGGCCTTCCATCGCAATAGGTTTCTGGTATTTATCTATGCTGTACATTAGATATCAATACATATATCATGAACACTACTTCGCCCGGGCAAATAAGATGCTGACGGCTACCCCCTTTAGCTTGCTATGTAAAATGAATGATGATGATGACGATGATGATGATTCACACGTTTACATTCACGCTGCACAAATCCAAGCGTACTACACACGTTTGCCTTCCGGTTTCAAGAGCCCAAGCGCACAGTGTGCGCCGCACACACGCAATTGTGTTAACCGTTTTGAAGGTCGAACGTATTGCGGAGGCTTGTTGTCACGTTCGACACTCAAGTACACAGGTTCTACCGCCGTATTGTATTGCAGATTTATTTCCTCGTTTCAGAATTGCTCCAGTACTGTATGATGTTCTTGCTTGCATAGGTTGGCTTTCCTCCAGTTATGATTGGTTGTTGGCTCTACAAGCCTTCCCATCCAACAACCGCCTGGTCGTCCAGCCAGGTGCTCGTGCGTACACCCAACAAATTCGGTGGCCTGGTGCACGGGCTGGAAGCCTAAAACCTGTGAGCGTTGCGTTGGGTTTCGTTTCATTGGGAGATTTAGAAACGCGAACATCTATATGGCAGATCTGCCACATGCTGGTGTTGGCGTTTCCGCAACTCAAACAGGGGCCGCACGCTCGCGTTCCCGCTTTGAAATTCTGAACGTAGTGCATGCGTTTGCGTTTCCGTTTCGGAAGCCCAACAATGTTATGGACACGTTCATGTTACCTCTTCAGTCGCGCGCGCCCACCACTGTACTGTGACTTAGGGCCTGGAGGGTGCGCGCTGAATGCATCGTCTTGGATCACACAGCATCCATTCTTGCTCCATTGCGTCAACGTCATGCGACTGCGCTGACGCAGGTGCGTATCCACTGAGCATCTGACTGTCTTCCATTTGTCATGTTTCAATCCATGGGTATTGCCTTAGGAGGCTTGCGGTGGATGCCAGCGTGGCTTGTCTGGTTCAAGGATTCCTAACACCGAAGCATTACCAGTTCTGTGCGCAAATGCGTAAAGGTTCCCAACTTCACGACGATGCCCCAGCATCTCTGGATGGCCATATATTCTTACATTTCGTCGTCTGGGCATCGCGTCTTCACTGCCAAAGGGTATCCAGAATATGAATAACTGCTGTGCTGCAACTTCCTGGAGAGTTTCATTACTATAGGCAAGCTGTCGGTTCATGCAGTTGAACAGCTCTTCATGCTGCATAGAGACCTTCTTCGCACCATTGCATTGGATGGAGCTTGTGCACTTCCTCCCCGGCTCACAAGGCATGGCTTTCCCCTAGCGGTGTCGTCATGTTGTGTCGAATTGGCTTAGCATCATGGGATCATGGCTTTCGACAGTGTTGTGAGAAATAACGGTTTTGGGATACCCGCAGCAGCGACATGTGCCTTGGCAAATACAACCGGGGCTCCGCTGATGGCCCTACGCTTGTCGCGCTGCATTGGCTTGGACCACCACTTTGCCGTGAATCCTGAGAATCCTTCCAAGTGGAGAACTTGATCAAAGGGTGCATGTGAAGTGATGTGAAGTCATACGAAGTGTTCACCATATCCAAGTATCTGAGAAAACATAGAAATCTAGTGCCGTGGTTCTCGTTGCCTAATGGCGCCCATCGCCGCCAGGAAACTTGGAAAGTCAGGCAACAATCCGACCATGGTTCCGGCATAGAATGGCCCACCGCTTACCCATCCCTCCGCCCCTTGCCCTTATTCCCAATTGAGCACCCCTTCAATGCAATTCAATGGCCACTCTAGGTGCAAATTCAAACCGGGTCAAAAATCGCTGCATTTGCCAATGCCCTTTCCCAAAATGTATTAGTAGAGCTCATCGACCAGCGGAAGGGTTTCCAGGAGCAAAGGCAATGTCGACAACGTGTGTTTCGCCACCACTCTTCCCCTCCTGCAATGGTCTACGCTACCGCAGAAAAGAGAATTTCGAAAGCCTGGCGGTCTCTAGCACGTTGATCCTCAACTCTATCTGACGGCTAACAAGGCGCATACTGTGCCACGCAACTCAAAAGATCGCGGTTGCGGCTGTTCCTCCTTCCCTCTGACACTGGCTCACCCAACAGGCACCCATGGAGAGACGCACAAAACTTTTGAGCGAGATCAGCGCGGCAGCCAACAGCGTAGCGTCCACACCCAAAGCCTCCCTATCTTGTAGCAGGTCGCCCAACTGATGACGTGTCGAGCTTGCTCCAGTTCTTAGTCTTCTTCAATTTTTCCATGAGTTCGCTCATCTGCTGCCTCTGCATGGATGCCGCCATGTTGGCCATCTTGCGCTGCTGCTGCAGCTGCTCCCTCTGCGTGAGCAGCGCGCACACTCTCTCGTTCTCGGCCATGATCTTTTCAAGCAGCAGTTGCCTGCTGTACGTCTGCATCTTCTGCATGGCGTCCACCTTGTCTTCTCGCAGACTGCTATACAATCGCCGCTCCACCCTCCTCATGGCATTCTCTTTGCGCTGGCGATTGGTCTTATCTTGGAGCCTGCTTTCCTTGTCCTCTGACTTCGCGTGGATCGCCTGGAAACAGCTGCACGTATTCAAACGGCGAGGCTCGTGCATGCAGCAGCAACAACGCGAGGACCACATGGATATAGCACATATGGCGAATGTAAGCCACCATCCTCTGCACGCCTTGACGTACAGTTTAGATCCAGCCTGTGCTGGGAACTCTCCCACTGCAAGAAATGCAGACTTGCAAAGCTGAACACTGAAGCTCTCTATTCGGTCACCTGCTTCCTTTGCTCCTCCTTGGCGAGTGCCATTCTGTACTTCAATTGGCGGTCTTCCTCCTGAGCCCTCAACTGCTCTCTCTTTCTCTCCTCCTCTTGTTGCCTCAAGTTGGCGAGTTGGCGCCGCCGCTCCCCGCTTTGACTCTCCCTTCTCAAGAAGTCTTCCTGTTTCTTTCGCTGCAGCTCCCGGTCCTTGCTCAGTGCCGACTCGATGCGCTCCTCCGCCCTGCGCCTCTTCTCTGCATTGCAAATGTTCAGAGCATCTTTTTCACTCTGAATCCTTTTTTCCCTTGCCGCATCTCGACGCGCCATCTCCGCCTTTCTGGCTTCGGCATCTTGGTATTGCTCCTCCATGGCCATCTCTTTTTCCCTTCTGGCTTGTTCAGCTTTTTCGCGCCGCTCCATTTCCCTGCGATGGACAATACCTGCAGCTAAGGTATCTGAAACGCTCCCGCGGTACGCCATTGGCTGTAAGCGATTGGGCCCAGATTAGTCGGAGGATGCGGATCCCATCTGGGTCGGGGATAAAATTACTTCACCAAGAAGCATTCACCAAGCCAACCGGCCGGACTTCTCTTGCGCCTACCTTTTGAAAGCCTCGGCCTGCCGTTGTTTTGCCATTTTCCGTTCCGCTTTTTCTTGCTCTTGCTCTCGGCTATACCTCTCTTGTGCCATGATTTTCGCCTGTTTCTCTCTTTCCTCATCTTCTGCAAGCTGCGCGATTTTCCCGCAAAGGTCAGAATTTTTGCACAGCTCTGAAATTGCTGTGGTCGATGTAGAGCATGCGCGTTGTCGATTTAGGTTCAGATGTTTGGAGGCATTTCGCCAATCTGGCGTTCATTTGGCAGTCGCAGTGCAGTCCACAAGACAAAATGGGGCCCAGAGTTGTCAAGAGTTCTCAAGGGCAACCCTGAGGAACCTTGACTTCGCTTGTATGGGTAAATGTTCACATTTGTACACTGGCCGTTGCTCTGCCACCATCTGATCGACATTGTCGATCGCCTTTGGGCGCTCAAGCATGACATGAGTTTCCGTGGTTGCAAGATTCACGCAAGCAATGTCGTTGCTGCAAGGAATATGAATCTGGAACGCAACTATGCGACTGAATCCACAAGTCGAAGAGTTTAATGAATAGAAAGTCCACCACATGTGGACAGGCTTCTATGCATGGATCATTGTAGCTTATACGGCCAAATGCGCACTTTCTGCAATTCTCGATCTCTTTGTTGGGCACGCCACAGAGCATCTTGTTGTGCTTTTCTGCGCCTCAGTTCCTTTGCTCTGGCCTCCGATGCTTCTATGTTCTTTTGCTGGCGCTCCATCATTTGCTGCCGTTGCGTCTCGTGCCCAATCATCTGTTGCACAGCAATCACATGTCGATCACACAGGTTGTAGCCGCGTGTTTTCCTAAAACAGATCGTGATAGAAAACATAGTCAGTTTGTCTTTCGGCACTGGCACTGCTGTGTGGCTGTAGTGTATACGGTATTCATGTGAAGTATTGCTTGCTCTCCTGTACTGTTCCCATACAAGATCAGCACCCTGATTCTGGCCGGCTCCATACCTGGTTCAGCTCCCTCTCTTGTTTCCTCTTCAGAACTTCCAGCCTTTGCCTTTCTTTCTCCACCATTTCCGATTTAGACTGGGATTTTGAGGGAGAGCGTTGGACGCTGGAGGCTTTTGCCTTGCCTCCATCATCTCCCTCCACCAGGATTTGTCTTGCTTGCAAAAGAAGCTGAATCCTTTCCTGTGACAATTCTCAAAGAGGTCTGAGTGGATTGAATGAATCGCGAAACCGGTAAGCGGACCATTGAAAATCACAGATGAAGGCTCTTATGACGCACTGCGGACTCTGCTTTCCTTCCTCTGCCACATTTCCATCGTCTGTATATGCAGCAAAACACTTGAATCCTGACAGAAGCCTGAGCCACAAACAACAGCCGCAACCTTTCAATAGCCGCAACAACTTCGACAACGAGCAATAGTATGATTTCAGTCTCAAGTGACGTGTTTAACGGGATTGCAAACCTCTTTCTGCGGGCGGTCACCGGGGATACATAGCACCTGGCGATTATATGCCCTAACACAAGTTGGGTGCAAGGCTCCTGTCGGTTGTTTGCTCATCCAAGTGCATTATATCGAAATGCGGTCGGCAATGCAATGCAGAAGCGATTATTCTGAAATGCAAATTCAAACAGACAACCTGACATTGAATAACCGATCGCAAACAAAAGGCACGTTTGCACTGAGCGCTGGAAGCAGCGCAGGATTCAACCACTGCTGGGATTCGGCTCGGCCCACCTGCCGAAGTGCCTCGTAATGATTGTACTTGAGCTGCGCCAATTCCAAGTCCTCTCCCGGTGCACGAAAAGAGCGAACTGGAATGTGCTCCAGGTCCAGTGGGTCGATCCCAAGGCGAAGGCATGCTTTGAGAGACCGAGGGCTGGTGGGGATGGCGGAAGTTGGACTGGGAGTGCGATCCCCTGGAAGAAGCGTTAGGAGGGCGTCAGCCGCGACTTCTGTGGGCTCGGCAACAGCAGGTTGTCTGTTTAGAGGGCAAGGGCTCACAAGCTCAGGAGGGATCAATAGCAGTGGGCAGAAATGAACTGCCAGGCATCGCACTCACCATTCTGGCGGTCGACAATGTCGGGGATGGTAAGCTTTGGTCTCAGCCCACTTGCTCCGGCCACCTTGGAGACTTGAAGCACATATTAATCACACACCGCGTGACGTCCAAACGTTGATTGCTTTGATTCTTCGCCTTTCAGCGCAAACGCTAGATGGGTGTGAATGTATCAGGAGTATAGAAGGCTACGATAGCCGTGCTGACGATGCACAAATGTGCGCATATACACTGTCAGCTTCATGGAAGCGCATGAGATGCAGCCAACCGGACTTGGGTGCTGTCTGGAATGTCCGTCTATCCCATATGAACTGATGTTCACATTTTCTTCCGTTTTCGTTGCTCGCATTCGTATTCGCCTATCCGTACATATTCATCCGTATTTGTCGTCCATGGCAGGGATGCCACTTTGCGGACTGGTCGTGTGATGTGCGGCAATGCTGGCGAGTCACCAGCGGTGATGTGCGGTGGTCACCCGTGCCTGCGCCCACGGGAGTCACCTTTCGCGCACTGCTACTTCGCGTGTAGCGACGCTTCCGCAGAGTTATTCAATGCAAGGCTCACAGGCTAGGATGAGGGGGCGCCTTGGACGAAGACGACACGTGCCGCGCCATCCGCCGGGCGGAAGGCGGGCGCAACCACCCCGCACACACCCGAGGCAAAGGGCCCCGTCGATCCCCGGGCCGCGGGCCCCTCACCTGCGCCTTCTGCAAGTCCGAGAGCCAAATGTAGGGGGGCCGGCGCTTACTCATCCCGCCTTCCAGCTATCTGCGACCAACAAGGAAAGGATCAAAGAAGGCTGAGGGGGCCAGGGCGGGCGTTGGCAGACGCCGGTCAAAACAGTCAAATCTGGTCAACGACAGTCAAACTAAAGTGATCTAGTCAACGACACCGGCGCGCCCAAGTTGGCATGCCGCCCCGGGACCGACGCAGGTTTGCCATCCAGGGCGACATGCGCACGGCGCGCAGCCCGAAGCCGATCAGCGACTGCTGACGTCACAGCCCTCCCTCGATGGTGCGTTAGATTCCCACACGCACTGTCCATGGGGTGTGTGCTCAAGAGACACCTTCCCAGCCTCCAAAGTGGCGCCGCGTTGTTGAAGGGTCTGACCGGAATGGTGCGGATCTGGTTTCGGTGGCGGCCATGTCGCGTCCGAAGCCACGCCGGCTGATGTCCTCAGGCTCCACAGCCGGCTCCTGAAGGCGCTCCTGTCCGCCTTGAAAGTGGGGGACCGCATTCTTCTGCTGATTAAGCCACCAATGGACAAGTCCCGGATTCCTCCCATGAGCAGAAAGAACATCATTGGCGCAGCGGTGCTCAGTCCTGTGGCCCAGCGCCTCAAAGGCCGAGGTTCTTGATGCCCATAAGTCCTCTGTTCCGACTCATCTCACCCTGCCCAAGTTCTGCAGAAGGCCGCAGAACGCAGCGCCAGCTTGCTGGCGCCCACCCCTCCACAGTGCACATTTGAGCAGACACCGCGCGAGGGTTGTGTCACTGAGGAGGGCGAACCACTGGGTCGGCATCTCCGTGCAGAGGCACAAGCTGCCCATTTTGGGGTGCTGGTGCGGCAATCCGGTGCTTGATGCTGATTGTGATGCGCCAGGCAGGAAATCCGAAGGTCTTTCCTAGCAGGGTGATTTCTATGGGTGCGGTTTTGCTTTGGTGCAGACCTTACGCAGGTGCAGGTCACCTCGCACGAAGGAGACGTCCATCAAAATGCCGCTGGAGCAAAGACGCGTGACGGCAAAATGCGACTGATGCGTGATGCACTGAAGCCTTCTTTTCCGGGAGGTGGTGGGTTTGGTTGGGCGGGGGACTCGTCGCGTTTAATAAGTAGACGGGCCTCTCCACCTTCTTGGCGTCCAGTGAACGGCAGCGAGTGTTCTGGCGAGAGAGAACCCAACATTAATGCCTTAAACTCAGCCGTAGGATGACACAAGGATGGACAATGCCCACTTTGGAAAGGGAGAACCGACGCATTCAGCATGCGAATGTCAATGTCGACGTAACTCGTCGATATAGTACTGGTAGGAGCACAGGCAACGAACATGCACAAAGACAGAAAGGGTGTGGCGGCCTTTGCACACAATCCCAGCATGGGATGCTGTGGAGGGCCTCCTAACCGCCGTCTCAAACTCCAAAGTGAAGCATATGAAAGCACAGGCCTGGATGCCAATACAGCCACCTTCATTTTACAGAGAAGCGAGGGTCCGGCAATCTACTGCTCTGCAACTGCGAGAATAAATTATGAGAAAGATACAGTTCGGCTTCCACTACTGTTATGCCTTCTTGTTGAGCATGTCTTCAGCAGCACGTGATGAATACGACACCACATTGCTACTTCCCAATGCAGAAATTTCCAAACACTGCATCAAGGATTTCCTCAGTGACCTCGTCGCCAGTCACCTCCCCGAGTGACACAAGTGCCCCCCGTAAATCAATCGTCCAGAAGTCAATAGGCAGGTCCTGGTTTATGGTCTCTGAAACTTTCATCAAAGACTCGTGGGCCCTCACCAAGGCTTCACACTGCCTCTGATTCACTGCCCATCCATGGCCTTGCGAAGAAACCTGCCACAGAGAACCAATCAATGCGGGCGACAACTCCCTCTGACACGATGGGGTCTACTTACCAAAGTGATGCACATCCAGCAAGTGCCAGCAACCGCATGGGATGGTTCATTGCAAGAGCAACAAATGTGGAACGTGGCTCCTTCTCATCAATAAAAGCCGCAAAAATATGCCCAATCTCAACAGTTCAATGCAGTGATGGTACTAGTGGTTGTACTAAACACCAGTCGACGACCCCAGCCCTTCCTAAGGCATGGACCCTAGCTTTTGCACAGTTGAGATAGCTGCCAACTGACTCGAATACTGGCGACAAAACAGCTGCACAGAAGCGGTGCGTTTGATGGAAATCCACAAAAACCACTGTTGCGCAGCAAAAGCAATTCAGGGGCGCAATTTCGACAAAGCAGAAGGTACGAACTCAGGAGGCTATTTCGACGACGTTCTATTGAGAGTCAATGACGATGGCGTCAAGGTGGATGGTCCCCTTTCTTGCGACAGCCAGCACTGCTATTCTTGTTCTCAAAGAGCCGCAACGGAAGTGCGCTTCATATTATCCGCTGCACAAAGGGCGACTATGCAATACCAAATTGAAGGATGACCACCAACATGCGCACTGCATTTAACATGATCCCGGATTCACCTGTTCAACTCCAAGTACGGCCATCATTGCATCCTCCAGTGCATCAAGTCCCTTCGACTCCAAAGCACATGTTGTCACAATCTGTCCAAACTGTTCTTTCACAACTAGAGGTAGAGAAGCTGCTGAGAAATCCCCTGCAGCGAAAGAAAGTGCGTAAAACGATTTTCCACACTGATTCTTCAATGAGCCCGTACGATTTGCTGCGCCACACGTTAAGCCTGTGGAAGCTACAGTGTTGCAGCAAGTGACTGAATGAAAGTACCCTCGTTGGAACATGGGGTTTTTGTATCTGAAGAACATACCACCGGCATTGTCAGTTCCACACTTATCAATTGCACGCTGGGAAAGTAAGCCAGAAGGCATACTGGCCAATTGCCATTTGTTCTGGATCAAAACAATGAACAATAATAAATTTGTGCATCATGTCCTTGTGGGGTGCCACATTCTATTTCTTGTACCCTCTGCAGCAGACTGTGGACATAGAAGAGCCACACAACCTCTCCAATAATTAAGCCGAAAGCCGAAAGTCGCCAGCACCAAAAATGAGGGCTTTCCTTGTATCACATTAGAACACTCCTGCGGTCTTGCCAATGATGGATTCGCAGGCCTGTGTCAAGGGGACCATCTTCCACAACAAGTCAAACACAATCCTTTCTGCATGTTGCTGGCCACAGCCACCATAGTTGTTGGCTCTGCATTGTGTTCCATCATCACGCTGTGGTGGCAGCACGGTAACAAAACCCTCCATATGTCCATGTGCGCCACAGGGATGAGCTTTAACCTTGCATTCCCTGTGTACCTGCTTTGTCCATCTTATTTGCCACTAGTATGGCTGGCCCTTTCACATTTGCGCTGGACGTTCTGGAGGGAGGCTTGCCCCAAAGCTGGTGGAATACTTCAGCATCGCCTGGCATCCACCCCTCCTGGTATGCACAAAGAAATTGATTGAAATCCATCCCGGAGATAGAGACAACAATGGCAGCACTCAAACCATAGTGTGACTTGTCAAGCACCGCCTGCCGGGGCCAATCGAAACTGGCCAATGCTGCATGCATCATGCGATCGTTTGAGCTTGAATTCCCAAAAAACTGCGAAGGGAGCCACTTCCAAGTGAGCTTCCATACAGAGATGTAGGAACTCCCCCCAGCAGCCATTCAAACAATATGGTATGTGCTGCATGTGAAATACCGCATGGCTGCTGATGTACATCGACCAAAACTTAAATGCTTGTGTGACAAGTAAAACCAAACAGTACAACACAGCCGCAGTGACATGCAACCAGCTGCAGTGACACAAGGGAGCAACCAAAAATCCCACCTGGATAAGTGCATTCCAGGGGATTCATGGCAGACCACAAAGCTGGCCATGAAGCGACATGGGTTTTGTCACTTCTGTGTGGGCTCTTTCCAAGAGCACATACGATTGGCAACGGCTGAGTTGAGACAGATTCCAGCAGTGCCATGCTCTTTGCTTGGGCAATCACCAGGAGAGATGCTGAAGTTCAAACTTTGCAAAAGGATGTTTTTGGCGCCCATTCCCAATCAGTTTGAATTGTTCATCCCTGAATGGCCTGTCCCTTCTGCACTACTGCCCAGTCCACAAACCTCAAACCCACAATCTTCAAACAGGGAATGGGCACCCTTTCGATGCAATTTCGCAACACGTTGAGAAGACAGGTTCTTCAATAATGAATGTGGAATTGTCCCAACGCGGAGTGGTTGAATTTAACAATAGAGCTGCACAACCAGTAAGCTTATCCTGCTGCACTTATCTTGGCAATGGGTGACAGAGCACATTCTGAGTAGTGCCAAGTACTGCTGGGCTGGCATTCCTCACATCCCAACATAGCCATAAAAAAGTGATGCACACATCCCAAACTTGACTTGCATCAACCCCTACAACCAGCTCTCCCAGATGGGAGCATATTGGAAAGGAAAACAACTGTGCAGCAGCACAGCACAGAAAGCAACAGATGCAAGAGGAAGTTCTAGTTGGAAATTGGTCAGGTGAGTGACTGTGCCGTTCTTCCGTACTGCAGGCAAAGAATTCCGCAAACCACTGTGCATGCATTACCGCTGCATCAATGACCATTAGAACAATGTCTGCAGCCAATGCCGTCTTGCTGGATCTTTCAATTCCAATCTGCTCCACAATATTGCTCCCATCCCAGATGCCAGCTGTGTCCAATAGCGTCACAGGGACCCCATTGACAGTCACACCTAGAATCACATACAGGGACACCCTTAGAAGTAGACTTCAAACAGAAGATGGCACAAAACCGTTGCTGCTGAGTCTTTCATGGGCATCCACTGGCATTGATGGAATTGTGCCAAAACAACAGGTGCAACCTGGTGTGGAAGGAGGGCAACAGTGCGCGGTTGTCCAGGCTGTCACAATAGCGAATGCTGAGCCCCATCGTGCCAGCAGGCAGGCAGCCAAGTGTCTCCAGTCACAGGAAATGCATCAATGTGCTGGATCGTCCACCAAAACAGTGTGCCTTCTTGATAATGTGTTGGCTGGCAGGCAATCAAGGGGGGCCATTCCCTTCATACCAAAACAGCAGCACAGTGCCATGGACATTTTAACCAGCCTGTGACCTATTACCCCACGCAGGTGGTAAATGGATGAGAGTGCCATGCGTTGTGCTGACATTGATGATCAAGTGTCCACACCTCAATCTCTAAAAACTATTTGTCCATTGATCATAGTGCACTATCAACAGATGTGCGAACAGGCGCCCCACATAAGCTGGTGTTGTGCTACCTGCCTCAACGATGTCCCTGGTCGTTCCTGGAATAGCCGTGACTATTGCCCTGTCAGTGCCTGTCCAAGCATTCAACAGACTGGATTTCCCAACATTGGGACGGCCAACAATGGCAACCTGCAAAACACTGCAAAGTCAGACACAAGACAAAATGTGAGGGATGTGAGACCAAACAAGCTCATAAGAGGACTGTATATCAAAGATACCCCTCTGTTGGGGATTCAGAGTTTACACACTGCAAACACACCAGAGTCAAACATCACAGGAAAGTACACAGCATAGCACACCAGTGAAATCTTCTTGCCTGCAGCCCTTGCCTCAACAATCTGCCATGCTGCGCTGTTTTCAGCGTGCATTCAATACCATGTTGCAGAGCAGCCACATCTGAAGCCAGACGGGATTTGTCCACTTCTGGAAGATCTTCCTCGAAATCTAGGCGAGCCTGTGTGCCCAAACTTGCATCATGTTCGGGATAGAACACCAGACCCACGCCACAATACGCAAGAGGACAACTATCCTGTTTCTCACACAGCAAATGATTGTCCAAACACAAAACAGATATCCCTTGGACCAGTTCAGGCAGCAGTGCGAATTTTATTTAAAGGCCTTTCTTGAGGGAGAGCTTGCACTTACAATGTCAACATTTTTGGTGTGCCACAAATTGTGTGCAACATTCAATTCAGCTGGCATCACAACACAGAGTAGACTTCAGAGTAACATGGAGTGAAAGGAGCCCATTATGTCTGTTGGTTGTTCTATTAGTAGCAAGTTAATTGTGCCTGAATCTGGAATGTCTGCCTGGGCAGTGGGGACTCTTCATATCAGTTGTAGTTCTCAGCTGACTGAGCTCGGTGGAATCAGTTTTTGACAATGTGTCAACTTTTTGCTCAGTTCTTGCCAGTGACAAACTCTGGGAGCATATTGAGCTCATCACCACCTGCAGAGGTATACATTTAGATTGTAACTTATACCATTGCATTCAGCAGATACTCCTAAAACTTGTAGAACGGAAAAGCTGTCTCACTCCTAAAATGCAGAACATGTGCCAACAGACGCAAGGACAAACCCTACTGGCTTCCAAACTGATTAAGTGACGTCATCCCATGCCACAAATAATATATTTTGCCAGCCCTTCCAGCATAAGATATACACTCACACCATACACCCTAAAATTTGGATGGGAGTACTGTTACAAACCTCTTGAGCAAGAGCAAATGTGTGTTGCTAAAAATGCAAGCTTGGCAGAGGTTCCTCACCATCAACTCCCACATTATCACTGCTGTCGCAACTGATGATGTATTGTGCTTATGTCTCACCTCAAGTTCTGCCACAAGATCAATGCAGATCTTCCTCAAGCTTCTAATCTCATCACCTATGCCTCCTTTCAGCCCTGCCAGTGCACTGTCAGCTGCCGCAGCCGTTCTTGACTCAACCAGCTGCAGCACGCTTTCAGCCTGCCAGAAAATAATTGAACACATTAAGTGTCAGCTGCCGCAGCCGTTCTTGACTCAAGCAGCTGCAGCACACTTTCAGCCTGCCAGAAACTAATTGAACACATTCACAACACTTGAAATCATGCACAAACATGAACACACACAGACACATCAAAAACCGGCTCCAGCAACAAAACTGTGTGTGCCCTTATGGAAACATGACAGCCCAGTTGCACATCACCATGGACTCCCGGTGCAACCATGCACCAAAGGCAGTCAGCCAGCCACTCAAGTTCATGCAATATCCAATGGACAAACTTGCACTTCACAAAGACAAGCTGTCACAATAACCGAAACCCATCTGCACTGATGCTGACACTAGATCTATCATTATCTCCCTACTGAGAAACAACAAACTGTTCCACATAACCACTTTCCTAGTTGCCTGCAAAATAAGGAAATGCATTTTGGCCGCCCCATTCCTGCATATGTGCAGCGTTTATTAACATGCACATGCACAGCTTGCTTTGAAGGGCATTCACAACCCATTTCTCAATCATAATATTTCTTGGGTGTTGACAGCTTGGTTTGGGGGTGCTTACAGCACGCTCTTGCTTAAGTTTCTGCCTCATTAGGGTAGTTGGGTTAGAATCAGTACACAGGCAAAACAAGGGGCTGTCAAAGCACAACAAGCACCACATTTCGCAAATGGGCTGTGAATGCTCAGAATACGGGGAATATGTACAACAGGAGCTGTAGTCACCAACAATGGTTGTACAAGCACAAGAAAGGTCTGTGAATACACGTGGATAAACTGACCAGCAGATGTGCAGACAAAGGCTCCAAAACACACGGCAAAAACGGAGCCGTAAATGTCCCCCAAAGTGACCTAATGAGCCCCTGATCATATATGAGCAGCAAATTTTCCTGTAATCGGCAATTGCAGCAAGCATGGCATGCGCAAGGACATTTCGGACTATCTCAGAAGACTGCAATCATGTCTCAAATATGCCTCTTCCACACTAACTTCTGGACATCCCAATGTTGGTGGGAATTGAAGGGTTTTTGTGCTCTTGTGTTTCCACATTGAAGCATACAACCCCCACCCTTAGCCAACTCATTTATCTGCCTATATTTAACGACATACCAAATAATATTGAATCTGATACCAAACTCGCGCCATACCAAATAGAATTGAAACTAGTACCAGATAATGTTGAATCTGGTACCAAACTGCCAACGTACCAAATAAAATTGAAACTAGTACCAACGCATATTGAATCTGGTACCAAATTCGCGCCGGTACCAAAAGTGTTGAATGCTGTACCAAATAGTGTTGAACCCAGTACCAACTAGTCATCGAATGGCAGCCTGCGACTAGCCCTGCGACCAGCACTGGGCTTGTGCGTGATTGGCATTTTAGGGTGTAGGGTTTATGATCCCTGTATGGCGGTGGCGATTTGATGGCTAAATGGTACTGGGTTCAACATTTCTTGGTACACCGTTCAACAGTTTTGGTATTGGTGCGAATTTGTTACCAGATTCAATATGCATTGGTACTAGTTTCAATTTTATTTGGTACGTCAGCAGTTTGGTACCAGATTCAATATTATCTGGTACTAGTTTCAGTTTCATTTGGTATGGCGGCAGTTTGGTACCGGATTCAATATTATTTGGTACGGAGTTAAGCAGATTCCCCCTGTATCCAGTACCACACAGTCGATATCTGGGAGCCTGATTGAGCTGTTATATGTTTGCACGATCTGCAGCCTAAAATGTTCCACCGCCTATGGATTATGGTGCACAGTTCACTCAAAGCAACACACATGATGCAGCTCGATGCCCTGTGCGGCAAAATGAGAACCAAAGCAGGGAAGTCTCCATATCGCCATGGGGCCGGCCAGCTTCTCACGGCTCTAGTTAGCTGTAAGAGGTCCAAAAGAACAAAAGAAGCCAACAGGTGCCCAGACAAGCAATGGACGTGTTCACATTGCCCACCTGTGAAAGGTCCAATCGCCCATTGAGGAAAGCTCTGAGGGTGAATTCACCTGGTCGCGCCAGCCGAGCACCAGCTCTTACACAAGTATTCAACACACGTTGACAGCAAACAGGTCCTCCATGGCACTGGAACTCAACAACATCTTCACATGTGTATGACTTGGGAGATAACATCACCAAGCATAGGACCTGCAACACATAACCAATGGTGAAATTCTGTCCTTCCCCGGCAAATAATATCGGCTCAGGAAATCTCATCGTGCTGGTGACTTCATGCCCAGCAAAAGATGGCACATCTTAAGCCATTACAATTACCAGCTCTTGTGCTGTGCAGCTTTTTCCATTAGTTTTTTGGGAGGGAGGGTAGTTGCTGTGCCCACACGTGCCAACAAAGCCATGTTGGAAAGCAAACTGAGAGACGCCAAAACCTTGAAGCCCAGGTCCACTCAACTCTCAAAACCACCCACCTTATCATGTGTTTCTTACTCCAATCAATCAACAAGTGCAACTCTAAAATACCAATATGACTGCTGTCCAATGCGCACCACAGTCTCTATCTCATGGGCAAAAGGGGCAGCCACAACACACCCTCACCTCATCAAGTATTGTGTCCTTGTCACCAACAACATGCCCAAAGTAGACACGGTGGCTCTGTGGGTTCCATATCTGTCCATTCTGGCTGCTCTGTTGTTGGAAAACTTTCCTGGCAATAGGAACAGCAGCTGATCCAGAAATGCGAATGATGGCAACAGCGGATTGCTGGGCACCTGCAGTCACACAGTTGAAAGCCCATTTCAAGCAAGTGCACTGATTTGGTGCACAACCAGTTTTGCAAGATTCACAGGTAGACATCCTCCAGCTGACTTCCCTGTTCCTGCTTCCCATTTCACGTTTTCCTAACACACTGCTAAAGTCAATACAGTATATTTTGTTGTCCCATGATAGCCCTGTTGCAACTGCACTGCAAATTCAGATCAAAATACGCCTCTGTTTGCTGACCAGTGCCTCTAGCCAGCACCTGTGGATCCACACATACTCTAGAAATAAAGCACTCTTTGGTTGTCTGTAGCAAAGTTCCTTCTCCCCAAAACATAGAGATTCTTAAGTCATCCCACAAGAAACATGCAACTGGTGCAGAAGAACAGCAGTGGACAGTATGTGGTGAGTCATTGCTGCTAAAGTTGCCAGACAGCAGTGCTTGTGCTTGGAATTCTACTGTGTGAAATGCTACTGTGTGTAATTATATTGTGTAGTGCGTAACTCTGCTCATTGCAGTTCAAACATTGGAAAAAGGAGCCAGTTTTGCCTTGTCAGTTCTCTGGGGCTTGGCCATCTCTGGACCCTGACTGTCCAATCTGTTTGCAATCAGTATGGCATGCAAGGTGTAAGGGGTAGGGATCGTAATTTGCCAATATCAGCAACTAGATCAAATGCTTTACAACATTTGTCTTGAAGTGCCTTGATGACACGACCTTCAGCTGTCAGATTCACTGCAACGAACATGAAGTGGCCCATGTGTTCTCAGGTACAATGGCATGAATCACTACAGGTAGTTGATGTGGGCTGGCACCATGGCTGCCTCCTTCCCCCTAGTCCTGGTGGCCACCCAGTTAGAGCTCTTTTGGCCATGGTGTACAAATCTATTGAAAGCACATTGGACTGTGCATTGCATCAGGCTAGCCATCAACATTCTGCATGTTTGCCCAAAACGTTACGCCCTATAACAGATGGTACCTTGTTTACTACCTTTGATCTTAGATTCCCTCGGTATCTGGATACTGAATTTCCTGGAGAGGAGCATTTGCGATGTGTCCCTGGCATCTGTGCTCAGAAGGAAACACGGCATGTTGTACGGGCATTTACCTGTAACAACAGCGGCAATTGTATCCTCTGCGCTCTCGTAGGTTGGCACAGGGGTTTTGGTGCCTCCTGCCGTGGCAAACACATGCCTCACTAGCTAAATTGCATGGCAATCGCACAGACTGCAAGGAGCCGGCATCATGTGGACAACAATACCACATTACCTCCAGCGCAATGAATTCAACGCCACTTGGAGCAAAATAGCTCCCGGAATGGTTAACTATAAGTGTCATCGAACGTCAGTTCTGCAGATTGTGCCGTCAAACTGCATTACTAAAGACAGCGCTACTTCAATTGTCCCTCGCCTGGAAGCCAGAAAGGCTGCCCACAGGGAATTTGACAGCAGCATGGAGCACTTTCAAACTTGCCTGTCGTGGCATTCAAAGAGTCTTCACCGCCCCCAGATTTTGTTGGCCTGCTGCACGACGATTCTGCTGCGGCCGACGTCCTCAGCCAACGCCTTCGTCCCAAGACAGGGGGCCAAAATTCGGAAGCATCTATTCTCGAGAGGGACGGTGATCGTCCAGGTTGACTGCACGCCGCTTGCGCGCTGTCTACACCGTTCCAAGCCTTATTCAGGTGTCGGATGGTCGCTGACGGGCACCAGCGGGCGAGCGACAGTGGAGCTGCGGGCATCCGGAGTGCAATGAGGCCAACCACGGAGGTAGGCATGCAAGCCGCAAGCCTCGCCAGCACGACCGTGGGCTGACGGATTTCCGCCGTGTGTGCTGCTCGCGCAGTTGGCTTTGCGCAGCTCGTGCTGGGGTCGTGCGGAGCCCATCAGGGGAAACTCTATCTAACCTGACACCACATGGCGTCAAGAACATCCATGTTTTTGACGCCTCATTGCGACCGCCACATTCTACTTTCTACTCAATTCGGTGCCATGCCTGTGATGCTGAAGCCACAAGAACGTCTTTAGCCATGGCAACGGCAAAGCCAAATCGCTCCTCGCTTCTGTCCCCTTTCGATTTCTTGCAAAGATGCTTTTTTCGATTTCGTGCCATTGACAGTCTTTTCTAGACACAATTGGATTCTGGATTGCATTGGCGCCACAAATGGTATTTTCAATGAACAAATCACGGAGTCTATGAATTATTCCTTGAAAATGTCCTTTACATAGACGACACTTGTCCTGGGCAAAATGAGGAGCTGATGGCTACCTCCTGGCCTTGATGTGTAATGTTTCATGAATCCAATTGTATGGGCTGCCGTTTCAATGTGTCGACCACTTATGATAGAGGCAGACGATGGGTATCTACAGATGTCGCGCCATGCACTGCACGGCATAGGCCACCAGCGCATGAGATGAAAAGAAAAGAAAGAGAAACCACTCTGAGAATGGGAAATGACAAGCACACGTGAGGGGTGGTGAGAACGCAGGAAGTAGTGGGATGGAGGAACCAGAGTTTTAAGTATAAGGAATGCTTTATTTCGATGAGTATCTCGGGCCTTAAGAGCAAACTTATCAGTCGGTGCTATTGTCCCAGCGGTGCTATACAGACACGGTTCTCATTGGCTGCCGGGCCACCTTACTAAGGCGGCGTTTGCGGAATACCACTGGCGCTATTGTTCCCATGTGTGCATCCATAACGGTGGGTGCTATTGCGATGCCGAATACCATCAGGGCACTAAAGCAATGTTCTGCGCGAATAGCACCAGTGCTATTCTGGGGTGCTATTTGGCTTCGAACGGTGCTATTCGGGGCGCAAATAGCACCGCTCGGCGCCGAATAGCATCGGCGGTGCTATTGGGGTGCTATTGCGTGCCAACCGATAATGATGGTTTTTGACCTGCGGCTATTTGGATTGCCAAACAGCACCGCCGGCACAATTGCACCCACCGACAAAGATGCTCTATGGCAGCAATTTGGCTTTTCTGGCTATCCCACGCGCACACACACGGGCAATGCATCCAAACGGTCGTTCGCAATTAGTTGATGGGCACATCCATCACCGCAGCGAGCCGTCCCTTGGGGCCCGGCATTGCTGCTGGTTTCTTCACTGCAGCACCGTTTCTGCCAATAGAGGACGGGGCATTCGACTCTCACTGCTGATCTGCCTAAAGGGAAGCGCACCCCACCTCCCACCCCCCCGGCCCCACCCCCACTCCCCGCACACAAGAACCTCCTGCGGCGACGGGAGGGCCTGCGGCCGCCTGCCCGCCAAGCGCAAAGGCGCCGTGCCCACCCTGGTCATGGCGCTGGCGGAGAGGAACCTTTTGATCGTCGTGTCGCTGTCCATTGCCTTTGTGGTGCGCCAATCGATGGGGCTGCGGCCCTCCATCGCCGATTTTTACCCGTCCTGAACCGCAACTCGCGCTTCTGGTCTTCTTCGGGGGTCGTGCCGCCCTTTTGGTTTTGTCCCAACCAGTTGAGAACTGTCCCGTACATTGACGATTAGGGCTTGCCAACTGGGCTGGCTTCAAACGAGGACAGTGGAGCCGAGAGATCACTGAAACAAGGTGAGGACGCAGCTTGGGAGCATGCAAGCACGCCCGCGGCGGCCACATCTCTTTGCCTCTATTCGAGCATGTTTCAGGCCAAAGGCTTTCCCTCAGTCAACTGTGCAGTGCGCACAGCCTGCTGGCTACCGGATCCAGGGCCCAAATGTTATCATCCGTGCGCGTAAGGCTGACATCCCTCTCAACTGCCCGATTGTCTCCACACACCCTTCCCAGGAAGCGAAGATGGACCATCACAGACAGGGCTACCAGGGCAACCTGGACTGCCAGGGACACCTGGGACGGCAGGGCCTCGTGGCAGTGCAGGCACTGTGCGGCCTGAGGTGCAAAACGTGTCGCTGACGTTAACTGCAGAAGCAGATGCGCCCATGCCATCGGAGGACTTCCAACCTCAACCCCTCACAGCGATTGGCCCAGCTCCAGGCAGGCGTTGTTTGTGTGCTGCGCCTGCCCCAACTCTAGCAAGACACTAAGCAGTGGATAAGGAGAAGGACTGCATGTGTTTCGAGCCCTTGCAAGGAAGCTCTCCTTTTGAACCTGATGGAGGTGTATGCAGAAACGGTATTCCGAACAAAGAAACACCCCTATGCATGCTTGCCATACCCAGGGACTGCATATTGGAAGCAGGAAGAAAACAAACACAAAGTACTTGCTAACAGTTGCTTGCCAGTGCTGCACAAGCACGAATCCTGCATGCATCTGGCCTGGATACTGCCTCACTTAAGTTGCCACTGCAAACAGCAAAATTGGAGCAAGGGCGAGATTGTTAAGAACCATCTGATATGGTTGCCCACAGGTTGCAGAACAACGGCCGAGATAGTTGAGGAAGCAAGATTGAGGGGATTTGCACAGTTACTGGATTCAGCTGACTATGATAGTCGACCATATGTCAATATGGCAGCCACAGTAGTGCTGGCCCCTACAGACAGAGCTTTTGCAAGCTTTTTAGATACAACAGGCCTTAGCAATAACGATGTTTTTAGCAACTCCACTCTCTCCCTCAAAATTCTCAAGTACCACCTTGTTCGGAACACTCTACGACTGGAAGGGATGTCGAGCGCTGTCTTGATGACCATGCTGCCAAAATCTGAAAGCCCCTGTGGGTATTCGGACCTGGAGGTTTGCGAAGATGGAGGATTCTTGAAAGTTCAAGGCGGTGGGACGGAGGCCCAGGTTCTCAGCGCAGGCATCAGGGCATGCACATCAGCTGTGTATGTAGTCGACACTGTCTTGCTTCCCTGCAATACCAGTGCCTATCAAAGCTAGGAACACAAGCTGCCAAGGGTTCGAATGCAAAATTGGAATTTCGCCATTTTGTGGGTAATCGAAAATTTGCACCATTGGTCATTTTATTTCCCTTCGATTTGTTAGGGAAATGGGACGCTGGGTTGTAATTGCGCAAAACACACAACCAGAGACATTTTGCCAAGCACTAGATTACAGAGCTGCCCGAACACGCCCATCATGCGCATGCGGTGCCAAGGTGCTGTGCCAGCGTGGGCATCTCTGCAAGGGTGGGCTCTGAGAATCAGTGAGGGGCCACAGCCCTGCCACTTTCTCCATGGCTGGTCGGGGAGCCCAGGTGCGTGTGCAGCCCAGTGGCGATGCCAATCATTGCCCGCCTCAGCTGCAGGGCCTCCATCACATTTTTGCAGATATGACGTTGCGGCCTACATCATCGTACCACTGCCTGCGGGCATCGCAGCAGGCATGTGCATCAACGAAATTTGGATTGTTATCCCCAGCTGTGCGTGGCTGCCACTGCGTGAGAAGGCAGTGGCGTCTTTGGAGACACCATCATTTGCTGGTGATCGCCACGTTTGAAGTGCTCAACGTTGGACGAAATTAAACTTCGGTTTCCATTTCGACGCATGACCAGCTCCACCGACGGCCACAGAGAAAGTGCACTTCTGCCGTCGGGCCATGACAACGACGACAGACCCTCGCCAGGGCGCACCATCTGCAAGTGTATCAACTATCCACCAGCCTTGTCGGATGATACCAATGATGGGTTTCATAACGGCCTGCCCGTGGCAAAACTCCAGAATAGTGTTGCAATCCAACTGGCGTTCGCCGTGCCAAGGGAAGGCTCCATTTTGTCCACGCAACCAACAATTCCTTTACGCAAGCCCTCATGCCAGCTCGTGGCTGAAGCCACCAGATATTCATGTTCTGCACAGTGAACTGGCAAGTACATGCTCCTGCCCATGACGGCGCTGTCTTATTATTGGATCAGATGAGAACCCTTACTTTCCACCACTGTTATTGTGTTTGCTTGACGGATATGATTTTTCATCTGTATACATATATCTGTACTACGTTGTGCGTCTGCTTCAATCACGGTGCAGTCTCTGTGTGCATTTGTGTCCACTGCAACCTTTAGCCCGAATGCAGTTCTCTTTTCAACAAAATTCGCAAGAGAAGCAGATCATTTCAAAAGCCGTGGACTTTTGGGTCAAAACATGGGGTGGGGCAAGCACAGTCCGCCAGATAGAAATTCGAACAGCGCCCCACCTTTAGATTGAGCGATCTAAATGACTGTGCCTATATTCATAATCCCATTCATTCTTGTGGAATACTGCCTCTTTGTACCAATGAACGAACCTAAAGAAACAAATGTGTACAATTTGGGCTATCGGCAGCTACCACCAGCCGCTTTGTGGCCGGATTTGGATTGGCATATTTGCCACCGTACATGGTACTGAACCTGGTGAATCACAAATTCTGCTCAATGTTGCAGATGCCGCGAAACGCACTCAGATGGACTGTGGTCTCTTCAGTGCGAGGTTCAGTCATCAGCAGAGCCACCCAGGACCCACCCATTCTCTGACTAGGGCAGGGCTCTTCACGCAGGCAGTGACCCACCCCAAACAAATAGGTGCTAACTATCACCACAACAATTTATGGAGGTTTTGTGGTGTCGATATCAACGCGGGCAGAAGAGAGCACTTGATTTCAAAATAGGGAAAATGACAAAAGGGGATCTTCTGCGGGGGTGTTGTAGGGGTTTGTGGGGTCTTTGCAATGCCATTGAAATGCCCCCGCTTGCCTTTGGTATATCAATTAAATGCAATTGTTTGTGTTGTGTTTTTCCACAACTCAGTCGTGAAAACCGTCAGTATGGCATGGTTTCTATGCTCGAGGGTCATTTTCCAACTAAATGTTGCCAATGACCTCACTTTGCAAAGGAGCTCTTACAAAATCAATGTGCTACAAATGTCCCACATCTGCCAAAGCTTGTGTGTTGAAGACTTCAGCTTTCAGAAAGCACACAAACAAATAGAACATTCAGACTTTTTGGTGCCTTTTTGGATTGACTCAGCCATCGGACCAATCACCGAACCATTCTTGGCCTTCACCATGTACCTGAGCCTTTACCCCTTGCCTTGCTTCGCCATGGTTGCATTGGCCATTGCCGCGTGCTCTCTTCTGCAGTTTCGATCTCTGGGACAGCTTCCCGGAGTTCCGATCGCCACTTGATCTCCCAGGTAGCTCCGATCCCCGCTTGCTCTCCCCGCAGCCCCTATCGCTGCTTGGTCTCCCCCGCAGCTCCGATTGCTACGGCTCCCTCCCGTAGCTCCGATCGCTACGTGCTCTTGCTGGCAGCTCGGATCGCCGCTTGGTCTCCCCGGCAGCCCCGATCGCCGCGAATCCCCTTCACGCCACAGTTACGCTGGTGGCCTCCCATAGGGGTCGCCCCTAGTAGGACCGTGGTCCAGTCTGGCGCCAGACCGGTGCCGGTACGGCGCCGGACTGGCAATGCGTCTAATGTACAGGGGACGGTCAGAGGACACCCTTTGTCAAATGCACCCCCGCAGAGGACCCCCTTTTGTCATAGAGGACCCCCTTTTGTCAAGATATCTCATAGAGGAACCCCTTTTGTCATTTTCCCTTCAAAATATTTTGGGTTGAGAGCCCGGACGAGCAGGTATTTCAGCAATGCACATGGTGTAACAGCGAGGGAAACTGCTGACGATCAGGGCCCACGATCATACCGCACAGTAAGTGCGCCTCGTCGCCGTCGCAGAGTGGAAAGCGGACACCACAGAGAATTTTGTCGAAAGCAGGTGTTCTCGACATGACCACAACGAGCTATGCTTTTAGCCATGCCATGTTTTCTATTCCACCTTCGCTATGCATATCTGGCATGCAGCACGCGGCGTGCAGCGTGTGACATGCGGTATGCAGTGTGCCGTATGCAACGTGCCGCGTGCTGACAGCGACACTCGGTTATCTTGCCATCCATGGCACATAGTGTGGGATGTTTGAATAGCTGGCTGAGCAGGTTGCCGGCTTAATTGCGAACTGCAGCGCACCACCTGTGTTTTTGGGCTGTACTTGTGTGGGAGTTTGTCTCGCTTCTCGTGTAGTGTGAAGCGCAGCAAAGCTTAACGTGCTGTCTGTTGTCGATTTCTGGCAACTGATTGTCAGCACTGTGGCACTGGATTCGCATGTGCTGCATCATCATGGCCCGTCAAAGCATGACAATCCTTAAATTGTCAACTTTTTGACGGATTTTCGAATCAAGCAGCAGCATCTGGGGGCATGTTCCGCGAGAGTGCCAACTGGAACACACAGTTAACCACACGTCCGAACTAGGCTTGTTGAGCACAACATGCCATAGTTTCAGTCAAGATATGTCGTACATGCCGCAGTGCATGCTACCATGATGCCCTTGAGGCAATGCCGCCGGATGGTGAACGGCCTTCAATAGTGATCTGCTGCTGGTTGCGTTTGCGAAGGATCCCCAATGTTAGAACTCGCCGGCATTGTGCCCCTCATTGAATATTCCTAACTTTGCCTCCAACCATTGCGCTCAGTCCTGTAGTTCGTAAGAAACCAAACTCGCCCCGAAAGATTGCAGACAGCCAAGCTTAATGGCTCAAACAGGTGATTCAAGGTTCTTAAGTAAATGCAGTGCTGTGGGCGGTTGTTCTGTCCTAATCCACAGATATGACACCATAGCAGCCAGCAGGCACGCACAGTGGAGTACATGAAATCGCTGAGCAATGGACACTGTGTATTGTTTTGCGGTTCATGTACTCTTCTATGTGTGCATGTGTACCGTGCAATGCACAGTACACACACATTCGGAAAAATGAAGGGGCCCCACATCTGAAGGCCTCCATGGGACCCAACCAAGAATATGTTAGCGTATTTTGCCATCCATTGCTGTCTGGACCGTGGACGAACCGACATTGTGGATCCCACAGCAGGCGGTGTGGGCGTGCGCAGCCAATCGCACCCATCCCTGCAGTTGCCAGTGTTTCTGCTGGACAACATGCACTGGGACCATTATTTATGCATGAATACCGACTGGAACTCATTGTCACTGGGTCGTGTTCAGCAGCACCGCCGCACACTGAGCAAAGTCGTTGTTGTCAGCTTGCCCCACTTCAGTCCCTGCCACCGTCGGCGCGGTGACCAAGGGTCGATGCCTCTTCGTCGAAACCTCCCGTTGCGCTCAATTTTTGATGCCCCAGCCTTGAACGCCGCGTTTGAAGGAGCAGGTGTGAAGCTCAGCCATTTGACGCGAATCTGGAGGTGAGCCAGCAGACAATCGCCTCAAGGCGGTCCGCGTGGTCGGCCCGTGGTCAGGATTTCGTCCAAAGGACCACTTGCACGACAGGCCGCGTGGCTTTGAGAAACGTGGCCATTGGGCAGAGGTGCAGCGTTCCAAATGGATGGCTTGTGTTTTCTTAATCCACTGTGCACCTCCCAGTTGTTTTGACAATTTGATTTATGCATTCCATTCCTGTGGACCTGGCATGCTGGACTATGGACAACGCAGTTGGGTTGCTGTGAACCCACATTGCCAGGCATGGCCTTGTTGCTCAAAAGCATTTCAATACGATAAAGTGAAATGCGGTCTAACACCTTGACCGGTTCCTGCATCAACGCAACACTAAAGCAACTTCCTTTGCTTCCATCATGGCCCATGTTGTGGCCAGTGGCAACTACTCGCCCAATCATTCCCCAGTGTGCCTGCTTGAGGGTGCCTCCTTTGTTGCAGTTATCTGATTCGACATCCCGGCAGCAGCTGGCAAGATGTCCCTGAACTGCCAAGAGCGGCTGAGTCAGTTCTTCCTGATTTTGTGACGACTTCAACAGTTCGGGAAGTGCAGACCTCCAAGGATGGAGACACAACGAAAGTGCTGCTTGAGCTCCAGGATGGGCTCAAAGTGGAAACTGTCATTATGCACTATGACACCACTGGTGAGGTTCAAGCTTGCTTGTGCAACCACATCCCAAGCACCATTCTTGGATAGCTTTTCCAGGAACGCAGAGTAATTAAGCATGGAAGGGACAGGGAGGACAACTGGCAGTGAGACCAGGTTTATGAGAGCTTCAGGTATCATAGATTAAGCAATGATCCAGTGCCAGGGACTCTTAACACTCACCAAGACATTAGAACTGCTGAACTGTTGTCAATCTGAGATGCAATTCGTCAGTTAGGCAATAGTTGATTTGCAATTTGATTTAGGTCCTGAAAATTGGAGGCACCTTAACAGGGAGTTCCCCAAGCATTCCCACGCGCCAGCATTGATATTACCTGCTGTTTGACCTCTCGATTAACAGGTCGGTCAGGTGGCCGTGGCCATCGGCGTGCAACAGTCTGTATATCCTCCCAGATTGGCTGCAAGATGGGCTGCAAATTCTGTGCAACAGGTGAGCTTTGATTCAGACACCTTGTGCGCCATCCTGCATCTTGCAGGAATGTGTCCCCCTGCCAAGGCTGGACAAGGCTGGACCCCTGTTGTTGCTTTTGTTCTGCCTGTTGGTCCTGGGATGTGTCAGATCTGCAAGATGACCTTGTGGCTGCAATGGCTGTGCTTCAGCATGACCAAGCATGCTCTACAGCTTAAGTTTAGGCGATCACACGGATGGAACGATCTTTCTAATGGAAGCTGCAAGCTGCTGTGCGCCCTACTCTTGGTCAGCTGCAAAAGCAACCACCGTTGATGGACTTGTGCAGTAAATATATATTCTGAAGCATTCTATTATTATTGTTACTACCTCGCTTTTAAAAGTCGCGTCTCATCTGTGGTTCTTCCTATAGATTTGCAAGATCAACTCAATCAGTCAATCTGTCACTATTTTCGGTTTGCTTGGTCGATTTTGGGTTGAGATGGGTCTTGATTACATTAGCCATCACCAGTATACACGATATTCACAGGCTCGTCAACAATCCCCCTATCCAGTTCTTAGCAGCTCCTCAATTCCCCACATTGTTGCAGTGGCCTTATTCTCAAATGTTCCAAACCCATTTCCCCCAAATTCATGGAGAACTGTGTTGCAGACAACAATGGGCACCACTACACCCTTGCAAGAATCTGGATATCAATTCTATGGTGCTTTTTGGTCACTGGTGCTTCTAGTATGTGAAATCATGTTTCCAAATTCTGGTTTTCAACATTTGGCCGTTTGTGCCTCATTCTAGGCCCTATTGTGGTATGTATGATCTTCCTGACCTTGGAAAGTCTGCCAGGTAGATGTTCTTTCATAGATGGAGGTGTCTCTTGGACATTGGCCACAGCCTTTACACGGTTCTGGTTGGTACCCCGAATTCTGTGCAAAATATGATACTTTTCCTCATGGACTCTGTTTGGAATCAAGCTGCATCCTTAGAGTAGACAAAACCAATAAAGCACACCACTCTTACAAAGATAGCAGAGGTCGATCCACCACTTTTGAATGGCAAGATAAGCTCGCTATGCCCTGTTCTAGGTCCCGACAATATGCAAAATCGCGTTTCAGCTGCACTCAACATATTGCAAGAACGACAGCACCATTTGCCATGTTAGAGGGCTCTGTGGATAGCTCTTGATATGGCGCATTGCAGTTGTTTTGTTCAATTTTTATGACTCGCACATTTGATCTCTGTTCGTGCGAATTTCGAATGTGACACGACTTTTGGAACACAGATAGTATATATTCTGAATTATTTCTGCAAAGAACAGGTAGGCTGGTGAACTGTAAGCACACTGTGATCCTGCAAGGTACAGGAGCACAGATTTAACTGCTGCGCATTCTGTGGTGGTGTTTTGTGAGTATTAAGTTTGGCAAATCCAGGCAAAGGTCTAATGGGGGCAGAGGTTCCTACTTACAGGTACAATGGGGCTCAAGGGAAATTTAACAGCGGCAGAAATAATAGAACAACTGGTCCATGCAAGGGCTGTGGTTGACTTCAGGAACGTTGTTTTCATGGTGAGTATCATTGATGGCCATTTTGCAGAGGGTGTGTGCTGGCTGGGGGTGAAGCACGTCGATTTCTGGTGTGGACCTGTTTGCTGCTGCATTCCAGATATCTGTTAGATCTGTAACAGAACACTTGCTGCTGGGTCCAAGCCCTGTTTTGCCATTGAGGTTTGCCTCACCAACACAGTTTGTCAGTCATCCATTTAAAGCAGACGAGGGCACTGACCATTGCACCATTACTTGTGGCTGTCCATGCTGATTTAAGTGGCCTGAAGCAAGCGTTTCTCATGCAGTCTATGTAATTGGGCTTCATTTTTAGTCAGGTTCCAACTTTGGTATGGTTGCTCACCACTGCTTTCGACGTGCTGACTGGTAGCTGCTTTTGGGTTTTGCTGGATTTGCTGGTGATATCAATGCCAATTCCAGTCCTGTCTTGTTTTGTATGCAAATACGACCATAGTAGATCAACTTAGCATGCGATGTGATATTCATCTTGCCAATAGTTATAGGTTATCCACTGCAGCAAGCTTGCACGATTGTACCACTGGGCACAATTGCGTTAGAATATGTCCTTGTCTCATTGGGTAGGAAAACCAAGTTAACCTTCTCTGGGCGGTTGATGAGTATCCAGGAGCTTGTTAATGACCCAAATGTATGATTGCTGCCACTGGCAACCAGTAGATCACCATGAATAGCTGCATCTGTGTGAGAAGAAGGGTTTACTTTGCGGATTACCAATGTGTGTGGATGAAGGGGTGCTGTCTAGGTTGCTCAGGCTTCAGCATCTGTGGCTTGTTTTTGACAATGTATCTGTTGTTCTTGGTTTGAGCATACAGGCTTGTTGGCTTGTGGATTGTGCTTGACAGCAACATTTCATACATAACACCACATATTTCTCATGAATGCTTTTGAATTAACTGTTTGACTGTACAGGGCATGGGGGAACCCTTGAACAACTACGATGCTGTGAAGACAGCGGTTCAAGTGCTCACAGATACCAAGCTTTTTGGTATTAGCCGCCAGCATGTGACAATATCGACTGTGGGCGTGATTGGCAAAATACGGCAAATGGCTGTGGACTTGAAAGTGAGTTTTGTGGTTGCTGCCTATGAAACCACCCACAACCATGTTTGTTCCATATGCAACATCAACCTGGAAGGCAGGAAATAACTCATTGGGGACGTTTAGCACTCTTTTGAATATTCTGTAGCAGTCACATACAGTCGAAATGGGCTGATGTCTGGTGACCAACAGGTGCAGGGCCATTGCACCACTTGCTTTAGGAATCCACAGCAAGAGCTGCAGGTAGCATCAGTTGCATCTTTACAATCTTGAGTCGTGCGATTTGAGGCAGTGTTTGAGGTGTCTTAAAGGTTTCAAGTGTTTGCCAGTCCATCTGAGGCAGGTTGTATGTGCATCAATTGTGCACTTTGATGTTGCAGGGGGTTAGCTTGGCATTCTCACTGCATGCAGCAACCCAGGATGTCCGCGAGCGCATCGTCCCCTCCGCTCGAGCATACAAATTGGACAAGCTCATGGAAGCCCTGGATGACTACATGGCGGCAACAGAACAAAGAGTGTTTGTTGAATATGTGATGCTGGCGCACATCAATGACTCCAGACAGGTCTAACATCTGCCCATTCCCCATCACCAGCAAAGCTGTGTGCATTAACAAAGTTTTATGAGAGTGAACCCCCCCCATGTGCTGAATATACACTAATGAATGCTTGTACAACTAGTTCCTTGGCATGTGACCACTGTTCTGATTTAGTGGTCTCCCATAAAGACTATGTTTGAAGATGGGCAGCATAATCCAAGAGGCTTCTGATGGGGTTTTGTGACTTTAGGGCATAGGCATTTGGTGCTTAGATTGAATCCATTGTTTGCAAATTGCAAGGCAGCCGCCTGACAGGAACTCGCTGAGGTGTGTTGAATACCCAGTGGCACGCCTGTACATGGTTGCTGGTGCTGCTGGCAGTCAAGAAACTGGCTCCACTGTCTTGGTGCCAGGCATTCTGCTGCTTTCATATAACTGGTAACAGTCCGTGCCACAGAGCCTTCTAGTGGAGACTGTAGCAGCAAGTCTTGCTCTTCAAATAGAACAGGACGTGGAGTCCCTCCCTGTTGTGTTTGCATTCAACAGAATGGACCATTCAGCAAGAAGCTTCAGCTTCTTTGTGCACATGCCTTCATGCGTTTCCCAAAACCCTTTGAGTATACAGAAGGGTTACATCATAACACAAGTGCACTCAGGCACACAATTCTTTCGTGCGTTTATTTCTTCACGCATGGGATCTGTGCTTATGGTGACATACAGGAAGCCGATGCAGTGGGCTCGCTTCTTCATGGCCGGAATGTTGTGCTCAATCTCATCCCCTTCAACCCCACATATGCTGGAGAGGGGATCAAATTTGAGGCACCGCCAGCTGAAACGGTGTTGGCCTTCCAAGAGATTGTGCGATCGGTATATGGGGTGCCATGCACAGTGCGACAGACAAAGGGGCCTGACATTTCAGGTGGGAGATGGGGAGAACAGCCAGTGCACATGGCGGCAAACACAAACAGTTGCTCCTGTGGTCACTGTTACAATTAAGTGGGAGCACCCATGGAACATGAAGACCATAGTTGTGCTATTGTGTGGGGCGAATAGGAACAATTTTGTGGCAGTACTGGCCAGAGTGCATTTCTAATTTCACACAAGCATGCAGGAGCATGAAAATTGTAATGTCAGCAATATTCCAATAGTATTAGCTAACAAAGACCCCAGTGTTGCTCTTGTGATAAATGCTTGTGTGTGGTGTGCTGCAAAAGGTGCCTGTGGCCAACTTGTGGTCCAGACATCCATGGCCACTGGCTGTTCGTCACACACAGCTATTGTGGACGTCGAAGAATTGGCTGATGGAATGAGGTGATTGCAAGCTCTGATTGGGCTTGTGTATGCTCCTCTATCTAAATCCTTAAAGCAGAATTCACAGCCAACAGATGGCTGCACTTGGATAGCTCCTCACCCGTAACTGGTTGGATATGGTTTGACACCTGGCAGGGGTTGTTGCCTGATAATGGCAAGACATGGGTCAAGTGTGAGCAGGATGGAATTGAGGAACGCAGTACTGGGCACCTCCATATCAAATCATCTCACTGGACTTGCTATTCCAGGGTTCAGCATACCTTGCCTCATCGTCAAGTCGATCCCTCAGGTTCGCTGATGAAAATCCTAGCATTAAGCACTGTTCAAAAGTGAACAGGGACATGAACTGGACATGATGGAATGCTTGATCAGACGGGTGACCACCACCTGCAGCAGGGCTGGAACATTGTTGCTACATCTGCAGGGGACAGTCTTGGGTTCATCTGTGAAGCAAAGGGACCCCAACGTCAGTGTGAGGTACTCTATAACGACTTGTTTGTTCCTCGTCGCCAGCAGAGAGGGAGAGAGCTGTGTTTCGTGGGTCTGCCAGGGGCCATTGGGATGGATGCAGTGCAGGCATCCGTGCATATCTCGAACCGATCAGAAACAGCATGATTGAGTAGGAGCTCAAAGGTGACGGAGCGATAAAAGTGGGAAATGTGATTCGCCCTATTCGCCCTGGAGCCCAAGCTACCTTTTAGCATGAAAAGTGCTTATCCCTTCAGCAACCATAGCCTTTCATCCTCGAACACCTCGCAGATAACACATGTTCGTGGCTTGGTGCAAAATCACAATGTGCTTGTTTGCAACAGTTCAAAGAGAACAGTGGGTTAGGAGTTTGAAGAACTTGGGCCAAAGAGTGTACTAATGGGGGAAGTGTTTTTTGACTCGACCATGCTTTCCAGGGAATGGTGATGGTGGAGTATGCCCTGGACGAAAGGAGTGCCGAATGTTTGGGCGTGTGTGTGATGCTAATGTTCTTGTCAATTCTGCTGGTTGCTCATCTCAAAGAGTGACGTGTGGCTGACATAGCGCCTGACTGGGTACCAAACTGTAGACCAGTCAGTGTTTGACAAGGAATACCGCTCAGTATTGCTTAAAAGCGAAGAAAAGGCATTGTGCTGACATTAGCTGTAGAGATGATCATGAAGGTGGTGTTCACAACACCAGGTACACACAATCATTTCTTAGGGTGGGTCGTCTGTGACTTCTGGCCAGCTATTGATCTGCACGTCAAAAATGTGTTTTATGTGTGTGGGATGCCCTGAGGATACAGTTATGGGAGCCAAAAGCCAGAAAGGGATTGTTTCATGAAAATTCCTAAGACAATTTCATTGAAAGCGCTATGGAATCATTAGACCCAGTTTGGTTCATGGGAAACTTTTGTGATCAAACTCTTGTCTGTTATGAGCACGGTGGGTTTATTGAATGTTTGCTGATGTCTTGATGAATTTTGACTTAAAATGGAAATTGTTATGCAAGTCAAAGAGATATGCTTCGTTCAGAGTTCTTGTCCAATAGGCATCTTGGTGAGAGAATGTGGACTCTTTGTTGTTGCTGTAAAGTGCTCAACAATACCAGCCCTTTGATCACACTTCCATTGCCAATTTCGATCTGCAAGGATTTCGTGTTATTGCTAGTTTGCAGTTGCAATGTTGCTTAGGGTATTGTGAACGATTGAGCTGTCAGATATTGAGCGTTTCAGTGGTGGATTGGGGTTGCAAGACAGGAATTCCTCTCATTCATTCTCTCTCACTACTTACCTAGTTGTGTTGATGGAGGGTTTGCGCTCCAGCACCCCATATCCTGTACTAGTTAGTTGCTTAGTGAAGGACATCTATGGTTTGTTTTGTGTGTTGATTGTACTCGAGTAATGGGCAGCTTGGGCTGAAGTGTCATATGAATGTTTGTGATTGATGAGGATCCCAGGGATGCGAATAGGTAGATGGGTGGTTGAAAATGAACGAAAATTATGGTTTTTGTGCCACTGTTGGAGAAGGCCTATATCGACTCTGGTACACTTAGCATCAATTTGACGCTTAAGGAAGGTGGGGAGGATCCAGATCTGGATCAGGTCTACACTCTAGACCTGTGACAAAATCGACATAAGCTTAGAAGACGCCCAAAGCGCCACTGAAAATTGGCAAGCAACTCAGGTCTTGTTCTAAAACCTCCCTCAAGCCCTCAAGCTTCAGAAAAAGCACTGCGGTGCCTCAATTGACGACCTTCAGGGCTGCCCCTATCATATGTTATGGCTTTCACATCCCAACTTTCACCGCTCTACAGTCGCTGCAGCTTTGGCTGTCTTTCTCTTGCTGATTAGACAATAAAGTTGTACCACAGTGTTAGGCAATGTTGCTGAGTCATCCTGGCTTCGCCATAAGGATTGACGCTGAGGAGGGAGTCTGAGCCTAACGTCAAATTGACATAAAGCATACCAACATCGATATAGTGCCTTCCCTTGGCCAGAAAATTTGTGAAGAAAAAGGGACATGGACGAACAAGAGTGTCAGCCCGAGTTGTGAAAATGGCATATCACTAGCTTGATTCCATCAACCGACGACCTCACATATGTGTGGAATGCCATTGCACTGCTGCAGCACATCGAATGCTGATCCACATCACGGGCGACCGCCTCTCTTTGGATTAAACATGCGTTTACATTCTCAAATCGCCATGTCCTGCTCCTTCCTCTCATGCCCATTCAATTAAGGCATTTGTTTTCCACGCAGTTGAGCGGGTGTGCATGTTCTGTTGGGGCGCATTTCATCCAAGTGTTTGGGCAGACAACACTAACATGGCGGCAACGTGCTTGCTGACATCGTGTTGGGCCCATGCCTTGCCATAATTTCCTTATGTTTCTCTTGTTCCTAGTTGGGCTGCTCCGCGAAATGATCAGCTCCCGTTGCACCGCTGGACGCCACGCTGGCAGCGGATCCCCTACATTGCTGCCCCGAGAGGGCCACGGCGTCAGCTTGGTCAGCAACCTTCACCGAACAAGTCAGCGTCAGAATGTTGAGCTCCGACTTCACCACGACCTCCCTCACGTACTCCCCGGCAGACTCGGCCCGAAACTCCACGTTCAGCTTCCGCTTCATCCCTGCCGCCAACATCCCCGGCAGGTAGGTGACGCTGAGGGGTGGCGAGGGCTTGGAGACGTGGAATCGCGCTCTCTCGGCAGAAACGTTGGTAAGGCAGGCCACTCTTCGGCAGGCGTCCCCCGCCGCCACAACCCCAAAATCGATGTGCGAAGGCCTGAGCTCGAACTGGTTCATGTTCGGCTCGAGCACGTTGGGAAAGGTTGGCGTTCCGCCGGGCGACGCCGCCCATCGGCCGTCCCATTCCACCTCCATGTAGCGCACATTTGTGGTCACGTTCCCGTATTCGCGTTTACAGCAGGGCGGCGTGGGAGGCGGCTCGCGGCGCGGCCGCCCGTAGACGTCGAACTGCGGCGACTTCAGGCTGGCGGGGAGCTGGCCGTCCTCCAGCGGGCTGCTGCATTCGTACCCCCCGCCTTCGCAGTCGGCATCCGTGTGGACACTGTCGCTCATGGGAGGTGCACCCGCTGGTGAGCCAACTGGGGCCCGGGCCCGCTGCGCAGCCTCGCTGCTTCCGTCCACTACACCGCCACCCCGCTGGTCCTGGCCTCCATCTGCGCCACCACATTCCAGCGCATCTTCAATCTTCTTGTCGCTGATATACACACCGGGCATGCCGGGATAACCGGGGGACGCGGGCTCCAGGGTATGGCGCTGAGCGAGGGTTGTTTTGGAAGCAGCCAATGTCCCATACGATTTTCCTATGCTTTTTAATGCCTTTATCCCCTCTTCCGTGTCTGCGTACTTCAAGCATTGGCCTAGTACAGGCCGTTTTAGCGTGTGGTGGTAGGGCCCCACCACCTTTTCCCATGGAACCAGAGCCTTTCGTGCAGGTGTGTTGATACGGTCTGGGTCGCGAGTGCTGTTCCGCAACATGGCTTTCATCCTGCGTTCTTCCGTTTTTACCTGCTCTACAACTTTCGACGCCAGGGCCGATCTGTTTTTCCGCATTTCAAGCACTCTGGCAGACAGCTCTTCTGCCTCTTTGCGCATATGTTCTGGGCGTTCATCGGTTGCCTGCAACACGTCAAGCACAGGATATTACATTTCTCGCTTTTGCACTTCAAGCTCCTTTTTGCTGCCACATCTGGCCACAAAATTGATCCTTTACAGCACTTGCCCGCACTCACTGCGTGTCTGGTGCCATCCAAGTCATGCTGATCCTTTTTCCAGTTGTCCATGTCCTGAAGCAGTGACTTGATTTTCGCCCTGTCTCCCAGCTTCCATTCAGGTACCTCCACCACCTGCCTGCACCAGATGATCGGTGCATCGCTCCTGGGGTCCTCCACGATTTTCAGATTTCTTCCAGCACCTGCAGGGAGCCTCAGATCGGAACCGCTTGCAAGAGATTGATCGTTGTTGTGAGTGAAGCTGGATGGCCGTTTCATGGACTCCATCACATCCAGAGCCGTGCGGCATGTCGGTGATGACTTGTCATCCGTTAACAGGGGCACGACGTGGGTGGGTTGCTGTGCATGTACTTTCACAACAGTGTGAGTGCGTGACCCTGGGGGAACAGGCATCGCAAAGCCCTCTCTCCCATTTCGAATCCAATCTGACTTGACTGTTGTGTTGTGGCCCGAGAGATAGCTGGTCCAATCCCTTCGAAATGCAGATGTAGAAGTCACTTCGTATCCGTACCCCGATGGCAGGCGTACAAACAGCCTTGGCCTCACGTTTGGTGCCAACAACTGGTCACTGGCTTGGCTGCTCTCGATTTTTTGAGGCTGCACACCCAACACACAGTACAATGTCAAGATAGGGGGTCAATGTTGCAAACACGTCACAGCAAAGAAGGCTCTTCGGGTAGTGAGTTGATCATCTTTGCATTCCTGGTCCCAGCATGGCCAATTTATGAAGCGCATCGCCAGGTAATGCACATGCCAATGTGTCCTCTACATTTTTTAATTTCTGGGTTGATTGTTTTGCTTCATTATACAAGTCGAGACAACAATATACCTGATTACCTGTTGAGCCCCTGCAGGTTGAGCCCCTATTGGGACATCTGTGTGTGTGTCACCACCCTCCTCCACTGTGTCCATTATGTTGAACCCAGATGGCAGCCGATCCAATCCGCCAACACCGCCTTGCAGTCCATTTTCCTCTGCCCCCTGTCCATGGTGAGAGTGATGTATGCGTTCAATATCTTCAGTTGTTGGGCCTGACCTGTCACCATTGTTCACTTTTTCATGTGTATTCTCAGCCATAATTTGTCCCTGGCTGCCATGTTGTTGATCTGAGGGCTGCTTGACCTCAGCATTTCCATAGACAGAGTTAGGAAGTTCTATTCCCTGGGAGCTTGCTTTAATCAACCATCCTTGCATGTCGTGGAATGAGTACTCCCCATTCGCAAAGTCCAGCACGCATTTTCCTCTCAAATAATCCTCTTTGGAAAGCAGATCCACTGTGGTGACAGAGTCGCCCTCTGAGGCTGTACCACTGATGGCAGATGCCTCCTTTCTGTCACAGTGTTCAGCCTCCCCATCGTTGGGCCCCATCGCTTCCACAGCTTCATCTGAGGGATGAATGGCATTACATTGTGGGACTTGCATATTCATTGCTCAAGACTGCCATCATTGCCAATCATCTAATGCAAGAAAGGGCCCACTGGGACTGTGAGCCAGGCTTTCTTTCACTGCAATGTGAAATTGGGGTAGGTACGCTGTGACAATGTTCTTGACTGCCACTTGGAGCTGACATTGGAGGTGTCGTCAATTGGGGTACAGAAGAGATGAGTGTTTGATAATTGTTGGGTTTGTATTCTTTGTGTATTCCTATGCTTGGAGTGGATCCTCAGAAACACACGCACAGAGCACTACTCAACACGCACCAGAGCCTTGCAGGATTGCACCAGTTTCCTTCTCTTCCCTTGCTTGCATGCCGTTCCGGTTGGAAGCTTCCCTGCCAGTGTGCATCTCACAACTTTCCACATTGGTTCTGCTAGCAGCCACAGCTTCTACTGCACAGTCTATAGTGTCCCTGATTTTTGTTAAGCAATTCGCCAAGTTTTCATCTGGCTGAACTGAAAAAGTGACTGCAAGTCCTCTGTATCCCAACATGACGCAGCCATCGGGAGTTGTGATGCATGTCGATCGCTTTGATCGATCCCACAGCATCTGGAAGCCTAAGAACACCAAAAATGGCATGAAAGCCACAGTTAGTCCTTCATCGCATCAAACAGTGGAGTGAATGCATTCTGAAGTGTGAACATTGTTCACACATACCTGGACAGGGACGAACGGTGATTGTCGAAGAATCACCCGATACCACAGGCATCAAATGCGATTCGACTTTCCAACACCCTGACACGCTGGTCACTCGGGATCTGTCGGCATGCTCAACAACCCGTTCACCCTTCGGGTAGTTCACAATCATCGTCAGATCTTCCCTGGTCACTATCTGTGCTTTTGTATCTGGATCAGTGGCAAACACAGACCCCACAGGCGCCAATTCATGGATGCTCGTTCCATTCTTCAGCACAGCATACCTTCAAATACAACACAATCAATGTTGATACTGTGCTCTATGTGTCACGGTGGGAATTTGTTGAGGCATCAGATCCTTCACATGAATGCCCAAACTCCAAAATGTTCCAACATGCAATTGCCACAGATGTGCATTGCCCTGCTCCTTGCTCAATTAAGCAGGAGCAAAGAAAATCAGAGTTCGAATATGTTCTCCATGCCAGTTGTGGCACTTGCCCCAGGGCCCTCGAGCATGGTTATGGAATGGCAATGGAGGCATATTGTTTACATTGCATTCTTGATGGGCATTTTTCGCAGCTTTGTTTGCCCAGTGCCAGCAGGATTTTCCATCACAACCACTTTTGCTGTCCAAATGTATAGTGAAGAGATTGCCTCTGTGTGTTGAATGGTGGTCCTTATGTGTCTCTGCAGTTTCCACGATTGTGGATTGCAGAAGTCACAACAAGCTTGAGACAGCACCATATGATTCGCAGACAATGAGCATTATGAGGAGGATTTCGATGCGCAACAGGTACAAGGTCAAATGGGACGAAAATGCATAATTGAATGGCAATCCTCCTGCTCTCCACAAAGCAAATGTGCAGCAAACTGACCTACCTTGTCCCCGTGTTGGAAGTGATTGTCCATTCCCACAGCCTGTCACATGCCTTCTCCCCTTTGTCCTTGGATGCCAGTTCACTTATCTGGCCATCTGGGTGGAGAATCAAAACATTACCACAGTCCGTCTTCTTCACTATCGATCCATCAGGAAGGATGCATTTCCACTTTTCTGTGGGGCCTTGCAAACCTTGCATCATTGAGTCCAAGAGTGGAGTCGAAATGGTGTTTACTGTGCTCTGGCTCTGCGTCTTATCCATACTGACTGGCTTGTCAAAACCCTCCAACAACACATTTCCTTCTGTTGAAATGCTAACAAGCTGCCCAGAAGGAGTCCTCAAAGTACTGTACATCCCTGATGAGCCTGAGCGAGCTTGAGGTCGACAGTTTTCTGAATCGCAATGCACATGCACAACCACATCACCACCGAAAGTTGCGCTTACTGATGGATAGTCTCCAGGTCGATAAATTAGGACTGTTTTCCCCTGCACAACAGAAAAAACTGTGAATCATCTGATGCTGACTGCGGCCATAATTGCACTGTAGTCGCACCTCGAATCTGTGACCAAGTGCCACTAGAAAGTGGTACCAAATGGGAAACTTTGGCAGGTGGCAACTGCTTTGCTGTGATGAAGCACTTGTCTCACTTGTCTCAAATGCAAACTGACAAAATGACCGACCCCAGACCATCCACCAAGCTTTCGCTTTTAATTGCCCACAGCCAGCTGTAGAAGCAACTTCTGTGTGCAGGTCTTGTATGGCAGCTGTACCTGGTCGCACACTTTGCCTAACAAAAACATGCGCCATGTGGCACGTTCCTCTTTTCCATGAACACAGGCCAACAGTGACTTAGCATTGGTGGCCAACAGTCCCTGTGAATTCTTCTTATCGAGGGACTCGTTGATGCATGTCCCGTTCTTTCATAAGAAAAGTCCAGGCACACTGCGAATCTCTGCAAATGTGTTGTCACATTTGCACAACCTAGAGCAAGTTTGACTTGTACTTTACCTGCTTGAACATTAGGCGACCTTCTCGATCGACTCTAGCCACACTGCCATCCGATGGATACAGATATGTTTCACATCCTGAGATTGAACACAATGCTTCATCCAAGGCATATGCCTCGCTGTGCAAGCAGGGGTTCACTTCATCCTCCACCCCACATCGCTTCCAGTACTCTGAGAAAGATAGCACGCGTGGCAATGCAAACTTGAAGCTGGTATCATTGCATCCAGCATAGTACAAATGGAATGTCACATCTTCAGAAGCACAGTACGATTCGCAGCAATCGGGAAGTTCAGTAGCTGCCGTGGCCAACGCCTAGTGGATACAAACACATGTCAGCGGAACTGGTTGTTCGAAATCTTTGATAGGATCTCATGTTCCAGAGAATAGAAGGAGTAGCAGGGCACATGGTAGTGCAGAGACGCAGTATATTGACATTGATGGTGAATATTTGTCAGGTGATTAACACTTTATTTGCTCATGGAAACCCTGCATTAGAGGTGGCCTTCATAACGAATAGCTTTGCGC